GTCCCGATAGGGGGATTGGGGCCTGCTGGCCGGGGGGAGGGACCAGGGGAGGATGGCCGGCCACAGGAGATTGGCTGTGGGAGTGCACTGTCCACCAGGGGGCAGCTCCTGCATTGTGCATTTTCCCCTTGGTGGTCAGTGCTCGTCATAGCGACTGGTCGACCAGTCGTTCCAATTGTAACAGTTGCTTAGGCTTTTGTATATAAAGATAATGAACTATCAGAAAGGAAAATTAAAAAACATATCCATTTACAACTGCATAAAAGATACCTAGAAATAAATTTATTTTATTTTATTGATTAGAGGCCTGGTGCACAAATTTGTGCACTGGTGGGGTCCCTCGGCCTGGCCTGAGGGGATTGGGCTGAAACTGGCTTTCGGACATCCCCTGAGGGGTCCCAGATTGTGAATGGGCGGTTCTTGGGTGGCGCACCCTAGAATCGGGCTCCCTCCTCTCTGGTTCTGGGTGTGTAACCCAAGAACCACAGCTGCCAAGTCACCACAGCTTGGCAGCTACTGCATTGAGCATCTGCCCCCTGGTGGTCAATGCACATCATAGCTACCAGTCGGATGGTCGAACGGTCACTTAGGCTTTTATATATATAGATTCCAGAGAAGGAGGGAGAGAGGAATAGAGAGGTGGAAGGGAGGAAGGGAGAGAGGGAGAGAGGGGGAGGGGGGGGGGGAGAGAGAGAGAGAGAGAGAGAGAACCATGGCTGTGAGAGACATACATCAATCAGCTGCTTCCTGTTCTTCCCCAACTGGGGGTTGAACCCGCAACCTAGGTATGTGGCCTGACTGGGAATCAACTCCATGACCTTCTATTGCACGGAATGACTATCCAACCAACTGAGCCACACCAGCCAGGGCTCTAGGGATAAATTTAACAGAGGAGGTTACAGAAAATTATAAAACATTAAAGAAAGAAATCAAAGAAGATACTAGTAAATAGAAACATACTGTGCAATCTATAGATTCAACACAATTCCTATCAAAATTCCAATGGTATGTTTCACAGAACTAGAACAAATAATCCAAAAATTTATATGGAAACACAAAAGACCCAAATAGTGACAGAAATCTTTTATTTATTTTTTTAGCTGATTTTAATGAGAGAGTGGTAGGGAGAGAGAAAGAGAAAGATAGATGTGACAAAGAAACATCGATCAGCTGCCTCCCATATGCGCCCTGACTGGGAATCAAACCCACAACCTGGATATGTGCCCTGACCAGGAAGTGAACCCACAACCCTTTGGTGCATGGGACCACACTACAACCAACTAAGCCACATGGACCAGGACAGCGACAGATATCTTGAAAAAAGAAGACAAAGTGGGAAGTATCACACTACCTAATATCAAACTATACTACAAAGCCATCGAAATCAATACAGCATGGCACAGGCATAAAAACAGACACATAGATCATGGAATCAGAGAGAGCCCAGAGATAAACCCACCCGTATCCAGTCAATTAATCTTTGAAAAAGGAAGCAAGAATGTACAATGGGACAAAAACAGTCTATTCAATAAATGGTGCTGGAAAAACCGGATGGATACGTGCAAAAAAAAAAGAAAGAAAGAAACTAGGCCACCTTCTTACATCATACGTAAACATAAACTCAAAATGGATTAAAAACTTAAAGTCTCAAAACCATAAAACCCCTAGAAGAACACATAGGAGTAACATCTCAGGTGTTTCTCGTAGCGATATTCTTCTGACACCTCTTCTTGGACAAGGGAAACAAAGAAAAAATAAACAAATGGGACTACAGTAAACTAAAAAATTTTTGTACAGCAAAACAGACAATCTACAGAATGGGAGCGCATAATCAGCAATGACATGTCCAATAAGGGATTAATATCAAAATTTATAAAGAACTCAGACAATTCAACACCAGAAAAACAAACAACCCAATTAAAAAGTGGGGCCAGCCAGCATGGCTCAGTGGTTGAGGGTCAACTTATGAACTAGATGGTCACAGTTTGATTCCCAGTCACGGCCCATGCCTGGGTTTCGGACTTGATCCCCAGTGTGGGGTGTGCAGGAGGCAGCCAATCAATGATTCTCTCTCATTATTGATGTTTCTCTCTCTCTCTTCTTTCTCTGAAATCAATAAAAATATATTAAAAAAAAAAAAAAAGTGGGCAGAAGACCTGAGTAGATACTTCTCCAAAGACTACACACAGATGGCCAATAGACACATGAAAAGATGCTCAATGTCACTAATCATCAGAGAGATGCAAATCACACCACAATTAGATATCACCTCACACCTGTCAGGATCATCAATAAATCAATAAACAACAAGAGCTGTTGAAAATGTGGAGAAAAGGGAGCACTATTGGTGGGAATGTAAATTGGTGCAATCACTTTGGAAAACAGAGTGGAGTTTCCTAAAATTAATTCGTACAAACAAGAACAAGAATTACCTTGCACACCAATGTAAAATCACTAAGAGAAATATACCTGCCAATTCTTTGATAACTTCTTCTCTATTCACATGACTGTTATTTCGAGCTTTATATACAATCTGAAATGTCCCTTTATTTGGAGCTTTAAACCAGGGTTCCAAAAAAGTTTCTGCATATTTTTTCATATCTTCTAAGAAAGCCTTGCATGTGCCTGAGATGGGTAACATTCGTAGAATAACCCGGGTCTTCTTCTTCTTGGTTTTGTACATATCCTGGAGAATATGATGTACCAGTTTCTCAGGTTCTACAAGGGAAAAAGCAGCACGGAACAGACAAGTTGAGAATCTAAGTTTTCAGACATTTTAAAGCCTCTTCTCTCTAAAATGAATTTTCATTGTCAGTGACATAAATTGACAATAGAGTATAAGAAGTGATCATAATGAATTTTAAATAAGTCTAACCAACCATGCTTTCCAACTAGTATTTCTTCAATGCCTACTACGTATCAATACCATATCTAGTATTTTAACTCTTCAGCATTACTTTTACCAAAAACAACTGTTCACGAAGACAGCGAAGCTACATTTTTATATCTGACTTACTCAATGATAAAACCACACTGTTGTTTTCCTATAAAAATGGCAACTATCTAAGTAACAAACATTAAATAGCAGTTTTTTACAAAAACAAAACAAGAATCTGCAAATCACTTAAAAAGATGTAATTAATCCAGAAGCTAAGTTTGTACATAAATCTAGATCTCAGACCTTAGAGGAGCCCCAGACCATGACCTGCACAAGGTCAAGCGGTAGTCCTTAGGTTACATCCTAATAATATACAAATCGGATGGGGCTGCTCAGTGCTTTCAATACTTTTAAATTAGAAACTTCTCCAGATTTCCAACTTCTTTTGAAAAATCAGAAGATGTGGCCCTACCAGGACCACTTCCCCTAAAGCCTGAAGCCATTCCAGATGGGCTGGAGCTGGGTGGCGGCTGCCCCTTGTAGACAGAGCGTGTACTTGTTTTACCCAAAGTGACATGCAAAGGAAGTGGCAAACCCAAGTTTCTACTCCTGAGCCAAGGCTGTGTCCCCCACCCTGTTCTGCCTTCTATATGCCTGGTGCTGAGACCGGGTGAGGGAGCCGGTGTTCTGTGAGAGGGAGATGGCCAGGCAGTACAGGATCAGGCATCGAAAGGCGTAGTGGCCAGACACACCTATCCCCAGTGTCCTGATGAAGACCACATTGTTCGCGCCGCTCTCCACTGACTGGAACCTTCTCAGCCGCATCTCCGTAGACGCTTTAATGTCACCAACTTCTTTCTTCAAGGCGGCCTCCGCATCGTCGTCCTCTCCCTCGCCTCCTGAGGGCGGCTGGTCCTGGTCTGTAAACTTTACATAAAACAGATGAGCAGAGATGCCGTCACAGCTCACGTGAAAAGCGGTAATAAACGGCTTATGTGAAACCCCCAGTGGCAGACAGCTCAATATTGACAAACCTTTTCATTATGATACTGAGACCTCACTTCCTCCAAAATGAGGATTGTGGTGCTTCTCATTTGAAAATGTTTCCAAAAACACGGTAACAGTCAGGGACAGAGAGAAAGATGCTCACCAGATCAACCACTCCAGGGTGGCCCTTCATCCCATCCCTAGACACCTTCGTGCCTAATGACACTCTCCCTTGGGTGAGACGAGACCATGTCCTTGTGGAATTGAAAACGGTTATTCGTGTTCTAATGAGGAACAGGAAACAATCCCAGGCACTTGCTCTCGGTGCCAGTGTAGAAAGGACAGCACTGCCTGCCCAGTCCTCCGCCCCATCAATGGAGTTGCCAAGCGGGCACTAGTAAGTGTACACATTTTTGGGGCCTTTACCCTACACCAGGAGGTAGTTTATGGACATAAGCAACTTTTTAGTCACCCTTAAAAAGTGCTACCATTATTCTTTGTCATCTAAGTCAGCAGAATAAAATGACATGCCGTGTCCAGCCCGAGCCCCCAGGGACCAGCCCCCTTCATTGAACTCTTGGGGTGTGTCCATACATGTGTTAGTCCGGATCTAAGCCAAGAATATGACTTGCAAACTGCGACGGGGCAATTACATTTGAAGTGCTACTGGTGGAAGAGTTCTTACTTTGAAAATGTGTTTCTACATGCATTTGAGAAATAACTAGCACGAATACTAAACCCACTATTTCAGAGCTACTACTGAGGACAGACATTGCTGCAGCCAAGGTGCTCAGACAGCGGCACCACGTGGCAAACCGTGCGTGCGGCGAACTTCCTGGGACCGTGGCCACCTCCATCGCCTACGTAACCCTCGGGTCCTCCTCAACAGGACTCACAGGGCGGTCGTGAGGAGTAAATGTCTCTGAGAAACCCAGAAACACAAGCCTGGGCCGCAGGGAGCAGCCTATAGGTAGGGGCCGCCGCTTAACAACCGGAAGCAAATGCAGGACGGCAGCACTTCCCGCCCGACTCCACCCGCTCCGCGACCCGACCACGCGAGGGGGCGGGACTCCCGTCAGAGGCCACGCCCCTCCCGCGTAGGCGCAGGGCCCGCGCATGCGTCTGAAGGCGGGCGGCCTTCCTCGGCCGAAAGCCTAGCGATAGCCCCGGCGCAGGCCCTACCTTCTCCGGCCCATACAGGTCGTCGCCATACTCGTTGAGCAGGCTGTAGGCTTCCTCCACCGCACTTGCGCTCGTTCATGTTGCAGGTAATGAGCACGCCCTGCAGCCCGGGCTCCAGCTG